GTACGCGAGGGTCGCAGAGGAAGAACATGCTAAGTCACATGTTTCTTTTTTTTACGGAGGAGCAATTCTAAAGATCGAAATGCTCTCAACCAATTCCGTGTTAAAAGAACTGTGTTTTTCTTTGATTTTGAGGTTAAACATGTATTTCTATCAGCCTCCTGAACATTTAAAAAATCGTGATTGTCGTAACATTAGTTGATCCTCGGGTTTTTTCACAAACATTTATGGTATCGGTGACCTTTATGGTATAGGTTAAACCTCTACATGTTTTCATGCAGTCCAAATTATAAGAACTTTGTTATTTATAAATTAAGCACGGCTCTGTCCATGGCCTATCACAATTATAACCCTGTATACTTTGTGAATTATGTTTACTGGCACTAAAGATACCGAGAGTTGTAGCTGATTTGTTGTTCGGTCATAAGGAAATGAATCATAGTGGAGAACACGCACATCCAACTTCGGCTTTCGCGAACAAGAGCGGCCTTCGTATCTCACGAGCGATGCTGTGAGCGACGCCAGGGGCCTCAGTTATGGAAGAGAGTGGGGACAATGATCTAGTATGAGTGAGTAAGGCTCAAGAGCGTCATACATTATCCCACCAAGAAATCAATTCAAGGTCATTGAAGATTATACAAACAATGTTGATAATTAAGTGAAGCTGAATTCAAAAATATCGAAGATTAAACAGAACGTTACTTCGCAGTGTTACCGCAAAATTGGACAGAAAATTTTCTTTGTACGACCTTTATTAATAGTTAACGGGACACATATTTACAAAATAATCACTGTATTGAAGTTGGGGAGCATCAGTTCGAGCACCTATAGCTTCCAGATAGTAGGTACATATTAAAAATTATTTTGTAAATATCTCGTTAACTATTAGATTTAGGACGTATGAAAGTCCATAAATATTTACTCAGAATTTGATTCTCCATGGATCTGTGGTACCTTGAAATCTCTGAATGCCTCCACCCACAAAAAAATCACGTACCTTATAAGATGTGCCCCTTGCTGCCATTTAAGTTCCACGCCTCAACATTTTCATAAAGTGTACAGTTAAGTCATCATTTGACGTGATCAAGTTAGCTGAGACACCCTTCTGTATTTCCCTCGTCTTCCGTGCAACGACTGCACCGTTTCACGTGCGACCAATCCTACGCAGCTAATTACCGTCGCGTATTGACCCTGAGAGAGCCGTAATGAACGATAAGAGGCAAGAACCGGGGCAACTTAATCGGGGCCAATGGGATCGCAATGGAGGGGGAGGGGGCAGCGTAAGGAAAGGAAAGGAGTCAAGGCGGGGCAGCAGTCATTGCACTCGTTAGAATTCGTTCTTTAGATTGAAAGGTACATATACACCATCGACGAAACCGACGCGTCTTGTGCCCAGTTAGAAAAATTCTTTGGCTCGATTACTTCGAACACGAACGATTGCATGCTATCGCAAATTCCGCTTTTCCTTCTTCGTGGACGTTGTATGTAGTACCATTGGATTGAGTTGTGAACGGCTTCAACGTACAGATCGAAAAGTTGCGGTTCACAGGAAAATTTACCGTATGACATTCCAAATGAATGATTAAACAAACGGAAATAGATCGTTAACGTTCGTTTTATGAGAGGAAACGAGTATGTGTATAGTTTAACCTCTTCAGGGATGATCTTTTTTAGAGATGGGGGAATGATATTATTTGTATTTTCTAACATTGGGATAGTCTGTTAGAATGGTAAGGTATTCAAAAATATTGCTAGATTACGAGACTGTTGACGGTGTAAAAGTTAAATGAAATAACTTTGTGAAAAGTGTTGTTAAAATAGGCGGAAGTATAGAATCTGTTTTATCGATACCAGACTAATCATGAGGTAAATCTGTGGCAATTAAACAAAGAAAATGAGAAGGCTAGTAGTTGAATGATCATTGAAAAAGAATGACCAGGTGTATAAGAACTATTGAGCCATAACAAGACAAACTACAAACTGAACATTTATATGTGTGTCAACGTTTCTGAAGAGGTTAATAACTAGACCGTGGATTTGATGTATTTCTAACAGTAGCAACTGAATAAAATACACCAACATAAATTTTAATTAAATTCAATGCAAGTTTTATTTTCTTTAAAATTAGCCCACAAGAAAGTGAATTGGAATTACATGAAGAATGTAATTTTCAAGAAGTTGTAATAAAAAATAGAAGATTATTTCTCATTTATCTATATAGATATAGTAAACACGAATAAAGTTGTACTATCATCGTAAAGAAATTCTAGGCCCAAAATATAAAACAATAAATGGTAGAATACAAAAATACTAATATTGTAAATGTAATCGTACGAACATCATTTTATAGTCCATTATACACGGAAACATACAGAACAAGGAACTGGTCGTATTTTAGATATGTATTGTGCGGTTGACTAGAATGCTGATAAGATCCGCGTTTCATCGTTTGCGCGGTGTAGTTACGCAATTAACGCTACGAGCATCACATTTATTTTAACTCGTGCACCATGGAAACACGTAACGTCTGAGTTTGCAGAATGAATTATTGTTGCACCGAAGACAGTGGAATAATTAGGTGCCACACGAAGAGTTAGGTCACTAATACACATTATATACAGGCCGTGAAACACCAAGTGCATGTTATTTTTTGCATTTACACACAAACTGCGTAATAAATTGCCGTTAAAGAGGATTGTAAAGAATTTGTAAATTTAATGCACCTTTTATGTTACAAATAACGTACTGAAGATCTAGTCTGATTATTTTCAGTACATTTTAATTGTGTGTATTATTCAATTTTCTGATAATAAAGAGTCTATAGTGTAGACGATAATATTAGTTCTGTTTTTTGATTACGTATCTAATCAAAATTTATATGTACAAACTTTTTAATTGTTCCATTGTAAATAATACGTTGAAAGGTGATAAATCATAATGATAATAAATCATGGATGAATAAAATATCCTTGAAATAATTGGTGGAATAAAGTAATTAATAAGAATATGTAATAAATTACGGACATACGATTCATAAAGATAAAGTATAGATTGTGACTAGAGGGAGCCACAGCGATTTCCTGGAATAACAATTACTCATCCAGCACAATAAACGTCTCGTTGGTTCATTCGTAACCAACTCCCCAAACATATTTTTTTTCACATTTCTAATGAAAAAATTAATATTTAGATAGTTGTAAAAATGAAATAATAGTATCACTTGATCGACGCTATGTATTAAAATATATCCTTTGGCGAATTATTAAATACATTTAATTCACGTAAGTCTTTGAACTTTGTATATTAACATAATTATACAAAGACCAGGTATTTTATTTTACTTGATTATATTTTGACAACTTGAATGTTATTTACATTTTTCACTTTACTGTCCTTTACTCTACAAAAAATTCACAGTCTAGTATTTAAACTACACTTATCGGTAAAAGTTACAAAGCAAACAATTTTCATGAATATTTATACATAATTATCTAATGCGTGTATATCGATTTCACATATTTTTTTATGTTTCCACACAGTAAAAAGTTTCAAACAACCATAAATGTTGGCGATAAAAGAAAATATATTACAGAGCACCTGATTAATTGCCTTGTTTCATTTAATTTGTATCAGTATGCGTATATACATTTATTTGTGCCAAATGAATTATCCATAATTAATCCCTACTCGATACTGTCACGTGATTATTAGTATTTGTACCGATTGGAAATGTTCAACTCTTAATTGCATTTAACCCACCTAATATTCAGAAAGAATCAACCATTTTTCACAATTCGGACTTAACTTACGGCCGAAAATATCGTGGTCGATGTGGTTTAAGAACTTCCGAATCGGAATTTTACACTGTCAAGTATTTCGGTTGAATCATCACAGAAGCGACAAAGTTAATCTCGTTTTATCAGCATATCACGAAGTGAAAAGATAGTGACGAATTATGTGCACATGGATCAAGCGGGGTTACATTTATGAAGAGATTTGAAAAGAGTACGCAAATTTAGCAATGATTTTCGAAAAGTGTACGGAAGGACACTCAATCAGTTTGTTTCATCTAGAATGTATATACATTTATTATTTAGTGTTTTCTTGACTTTTGGTAAAAAATATTACAGAATTACAGATATGTGGTAGTTCATAGAATTTTAAAACTGTATTAAAAATAATAATTCGTGACGATCTCCAGTTTTTCATATTACATTTACTGACAAAATGGCGACCATTTATTTAATAAACATAGATTTTTGAAAACTTCAAACTCATTGAATACGTAAAAATTGAGTACATGTATCAGTTTATTGGTCTCCAGTGATCTTTATTGATTTCTTTATTGATCTCTCTGCATTGATGTAACCTCTTAAAAGAATTATCTTTCGATGGATCGAATATTTATCCCGTTAAGAACCATGGATCTTGCCAGTATGTTCCCATGAGGACCAGTCGTCGTCATTCGTTGCAGTCTTCTACCTGCCCAGTTGGAAATAAACTTTTTTTTTAGTACTTTGACCCAATATAACGCGGTTTTTACACTCACATACACAAATAATATATGTATTGACTTGTTGCATAATAAATCTCGCTTCTTAGCACATTTTATTTCAGCCATCTTCAAATTGTTAAACGTGGGATCAATACGCTTATAACTCATAGATCTAGATGGAACTTATTTCGACTAAAGATTTTTCTTTCCAGATAAATTATAGTCGTTCAAATTCCGTAATTTAAAGACGACCCTAATTACGCAAGAACCTAATATTAAGTAAATAACATTATATAACTACTAGAAATAATTTTCGTCCGTCCTAAGACAAAACTTCTTGATAATTCTGCTCGAGTGAGTGACTATGGTCTCTCATAAGAGACCATACACTGACAACAAGCATATGAATATTTAATGCAATTATTAAATTCGAGGCCATTTATGAAAGTTCACGCGTTGATATGCTCATTTATGAATACTAACGAATGGTGTACGTTTACTGTTACAGATCTCGAGAGATTGGTAAGTGATCTACCCAAGAAACCTAGAAAACTTTTACAAGAAGATGCCGCTACCAAAGCGATTGGTGGAACCGGTGCTGGTCGCACGTGGTACCATACCCGAAGACTTTCCGCTACCATCGGAATTAGAGGCTGTAACCAATGGCACATTGGCCAACACCATTAGGCAACTGTCCAGTCTGTCCAGGCACGCTGAGGATCTGTTCGGTGAGCTCGCGAGGGAGGCTCATGGTCTCAGCGACAGAGCAAATTCCTTGCAGGCCAGGATAGACCGGCTGGCTGTAAAAGTTACTCAACTCGACAGCAATGTTGAAGAAGGTTTGTTGAAGAAGCGTGTAGTACAAGTTGAGAGGGTCTCAGACGAAAAGTGGTACAAGTAACAAAATCTTTAATTTGTGAAAAATTTGGGTAAAGTTTAGAGATGGCGTGAACTGCTGGTGGAACTGATCCCAATCACGGTGGATTTTTCGTGATCGTTTCTGATTAGTGGAGAAACATAACAGTTCTTTACACGCGACACATAACCTGTATATTTTATATTAACAACATCGAAACAACAATTTGAGTTATATCGTATAAAGTGAAGGAATAATTAGAAACAATGAAGAATAATGAATAAATTAATGATTATAAATTATAATCTACATGTCACCTAGCAAATCATTCTTTTAGAATTTTTTGCTTTTTCTACTGATTTTTAAAAACACAAATAGTAATGTAATTCATCGTAAAATCGCATTGAATACGGTTTTATGTTTAAAGATCAAGGATTTACGATTACAGTGAGCAAATTCACTCAAGATAAAAATGAAGTTAAATCACAACCGTGATCGTGATTCGGCGATCACTGTGATAAATCACCGTTAGTGATTTTGCACGCCATCTCTAGAAAGTTGAACTTTAATAGAAAACTCTGTATGCTTTCAAGCATTAAAACTCTACTGGTAGGTACTACCATTAGAAAACACTTGTACCATTTCTCCTCTAAATAAATACGGATTTTAGGTATCGTTTCTTGTATTAGTCTTGCTTTTGGGAAAAAGTGTACTGTCATCATTTTTTTAACTAAGTTAATACACTAATGCTTCAGAAGATTCAAAATACATCGTGGACCGATCTGTCGAAACCATCGAATTACTGAACCTGGCAATTTCTTGTTCAATTAATGTATCATTTTCTCAGTAAAATTAAAATCAACCAATTGCATATTTTCATTATCGTTATTCTTCTTCAATTATTATTGTTATTACTTAGTATTATTCAGCTATTGATTGTTATTGATATTGTCTAATTAGTTTAAATAATTCTATATATTTCATTGTACAAAATTTGACCATGAAAAATACTTGTATAATATAAAAGAAAGTAATTAGATAGCTTAAGCAAATTGCCCCTGTCGTAGAATGTGTATTTCCCTGCAAACAATGAGGTGTCCAGTGACCTATGAACTATGTAGTATCTGTTACTCTAACCTCGGTTACTGTTACTTCATAATTTCATCATGTTAATTAGTACGAAATATAAAAAATAATACCTTGTTTTTCAAATTTTAGGTGGTAGACATATTTCTAGCACTTTCTTACCCAAAATCGTTTAGTATTTTCTTTCTAATATTTTTTGCAAAATTTTCAAACATTTTTAAGCGAGTATCGCGTCGTCATGGTTGGCTGCATCACGTGGCGTATTCAGAAAGGTCATAAGCTCGGCACTTAACGTGTTAATGAGTTTGTACATCTTACAATTAAGCATTTCCAACGAATAAATCGAAAGTGATCTTACTTTCAACTAATCATTGAACTGTGTTTGTTTGCAGTTTCGCTACAAGACATACACATGAGGAAGGCGTTCAAGAGTTCAGTGGTGTTCGACCAACAAGTTGTCTCGAGAGACACGATGCCCACGGCGATGTTGGAGACCTATCATCAATGTGACACACCACCGCCTCTCGACAAACTTAATGTTTACAGGTAGTTATTTTGTACCTGAAAAATATTATGCTTATAGATTTTCCGCTGGAATTATTCTGTCATGCAGAATTCCTGCTTGTTTCGAGATTATCATATACGTCAGCGTACAGCTAAGTTGAATGGAATTGTAGTATTTTTAGAAACAAGAAATAGAGAAGTTTTGTTGAAGAATTGAAATATTAAGAAAGTTATTTGTGAAATTCAGATGAGTCAACTGTTCAAAGAATTATTCAAATATTCACAATTTTTTGTTGTCTTATCCCTGTCCCTAGTAACTATCGTTTATTTTTCCCAATTCTGGTTCTTAATTAATATAGAGCATAATTTAACAAAGATGTGAATTTTGATTAGTAATAGACATTTTTAAGCTACAGTTCTGTTACTTCTCTGTTATCTGCACTGTTTACACGTTACCAAAGGGAAAAACTTATTTAGAATTTTTTAATTTCTTACATTGCATGAGGTATTCAAACGACCCATAAATCTCAGAACTATCTACACTAATCTCTAGACTGCAGATCTTATGCGTTTATTATATAAATTGCCTGAAACTCATTACAGCTAAATTTCTAGAAAGTTTACTGAGTTTTTTGTTTTTTGTCGAACCTTAGAAACAAATTTCTATTTGACTGCAATCTTTATTTATTGATCGTCTAATATCTATACATATGTATAATATCGTACTAATCTCTAACTATTCAACCATTGAAAAACAAAGTACCATTTTTCTCACTGAATAGAAGAGTGCAGAATGTTTTAAGTAGGTTAAAAATTCACGTCATGTATTAATTTTCAGGGAGGACGGTAAGGACGGTCTGAAGTTCTACACAGATCCGAACTACTTCTTCGACTTGTGGAGTCAGGAGATGCTCAAGGACACTGAAAAGAAGTTGCACGATCGGGGAAAGAAGGTACGTGACACAATTTCTTTCTTGTTTCCAAACGTGTACCTCGATTGCGCTCTTTGATACACGCGAAACAGTTAAACAACATTTTTTGTACCTTTTTTTCTTTCTTGTACGTCTATAAAATATTTTATACATATGTATGTATGTACATTTCTCGAGGTGCACGACGCCACGACACAAGAAATATTATTCTTTTTTTTTAAGGTTTTTTTTTTCTGAATTACATCTAAACTTATATGCCACGATTCTAACGATTGAAACTGTCCCCTTGGTTATAGACCGAGTCTGAATATGCCGAACCGTTCAGAGAGGCAAGTCGATGGTTTGGATCTTTGTAGTTTTTTTTTATTACCCTTACCACACACAGTTTTTTTTTTTTTTTAATGATTCTTGTCGATCGCCAGCCTCACTCACTCATATACATAATCAAGCTCTCTCACGTCTTTGTGGTTTTTTTACATTAACAGAACCCCCTTTTTTCCCGCTGAGATAGAGATTGCGCTAGATGCTCGCTTGACACTTTTATCGTAGTTAATCGCCTAGGATTTAGCCAACGACACATCGCATTCTTCAATGTTCGTCCTTGGCGAAGAGTCTCGTTGTGTAGACCGAACCTTGTATCGATTACATTGAAACCACCGACAGACATTTTTATCGATATACAGGGTGATACGGAACAGTCGAGCAAAAAATTTCACAGATTATTTGGAAGATTATTCTGGGTACGAAACATCATGTACATCGACGAGCAAACTCGGCGTCCGCTAGGGGAAAAAGCGAGGTAGGCGAAGGGCCTCCTACCATTTAGTTTTGGAAATTACTGAAATTTATGCCAAATTAACATTTGGTTTAACATTTATTTCAGTACTTGTAATAAATTTATTAAGTGGTGGGAGACTTTTTTTTATGCCACTTTTTCCCCTAGTGGAAGCCAAGTTTGTTCGTGGGTGTACATCCTATATTTATATAGTTATAGCAATATATACTGTCAACTGTTATACTATTATTATTACTACCGCAGTATTACTACTATACAGGGTGTGACAAAAGTGTTGCGGCTTCCTGAAATGGGTCACTAGTGAGGTAATTTGGAACAAGTTTTTCCTTAGCTAAAATGTTATCCGAGGCTTTGTTAACATTTTTGCTAAGGAAAACTTGTTCCAAATCACCTGACGAGTGACTCATTTCAGGGACCTACAACACTTTTCTTACAACCTGTATAGTATGTATACTATTATAGTAGTCACAAGCTTGATACGAAATACCTTTTAAGTCCTTTACAAGCCTACATGATCGACACGCGTGTATAATTGATGTAGTTGGTACGAATGCTGAGATTTTGCAATGATAAGAGTAAAAGTCAAAAGTATTATGTATAATGCACTTAAGTAGGTACTATTAACCCCTTGTCAACAGATCTGAGTTATGTTCTTGGTGAATACTTCACAGTGAATTTAGTAGACATGTATACCTATTCGTTTTGGTTGAATTGAAAATATTATTCTGTGAATTTAAAATGTTATTTCAAAATATTATTGTGCTGTTAACACAATTTAATTATTAGTGTAAATGTACACTTACGACGAATATAGATATCCTTTTTCTCGAGGCAAATAATTAACAATAGAGTAATGTTTACGAGCACATTCGCGAAATAAATCGTAAAACGTTGGATTTAAAATGGATTTATGGTCAGGTAAAATTTTTTACTCAGATTAACCTTCCAAACCTTTATCTTATAGATCGGAATTAATAACGCGATTATAGAGAACAGTGGACATAATCAATGGTAAGCAGTATGGTGGGGGTAGCAATGTGATTATAAACAGGTTGACAACTCACGATTGTAAAGAGGCAATGGTGTAGTGGGTTTATGTTTGTTTTCAGATTTTCATCTGAATTAAAAATACTATTGCATCTTGATTTGGCGTGTAGTACAAATTTGATACGATGTTCGATCTACACAGAAATCGTTCTTGACTCGAATCCTTGTGTACTCGAGTCGTTTTTTAAATTGAATAGTTTTATCTACATAATCACTTTATCGATCACTTGTAATGCAGTTCTGTGCTATTCATGCAACTTTTGGATGTACTCAATAGAAGTATCTCATCATTCTCACGAGTCATCTCTTGCAATCGATAACGGAACATCGTGACCTTAAGTCATTCCAAGATTATTATTTTGTTTCTGATTTGTCATGTTTCATACGTGGGAAATAAAACTTCTGCGAAGTGCTTGCAAAGGTTTTTTTTATCACTGAATCTTTTGAGGAGTTACATAATATATTCTATCTTTGTGTAATGTTTCGAAATGTTTTTATTTCCTACAAACGTTCATGTTCGGTAGTTGATCCTGTGCTTCGTGAAATTTTAAAATAATCTATTATGAAAATTTATGGAAAAATATTCGTTCTTTCGTTATTGATATGTTAACACGACTGTTTTGTCTGTATAAAAATTATTATAAGTTCGATAAGTTAATTTGTGGTATAAAATTACGATTCAACGTATGTAACTAGATTTTATTTCTGTTCTATCCATAACAATTCTGCAATTTAAACTAATTCGATTATTTAGTAAATTTTTATTTAGAACAACCGACCATTAAAATTTTATGCAAATGATAAACGGTATTGAAACTCTTGCATATTGTATGTTTTTGTCACGTTCAGAAATTATAAACAAATTCTTTGGTCTTCGTCAACCAAATAGTTTTTATTTTTCTGTTTAGTAAAAAAGTTTAAAATCAAACGAAAATTCGATATAAAATATTTTTTTACGTCTTTGTTTCCGAAAAATCACGTCTAAAACTTTCTACACGACAACTGCAATTATCTCCGCCTCTGACTAATGCCATAATCTATTACCTGTTACTTCTGCATGTTGTAATACTAACAAATGTGTTATCAGTTTCCCTATCGTGTATCTATCAGTTTGCCTTAAGTTATTGCGAAAAATAGATAACACCATAGCGCGAGTAGAAACAGTGTGTAATAAATAGACAAACCAGTCACGTTTATTTACTGAACAAATTTAAAAAATTAATTATACAAACATCGAAACGCTCTTTTGTGCTATAATATACGTCGAATAAAAAATATACAGTAAGATTATACATATTTAAAATTTTCCTCGATTAATTTCACCTATCGATTCATCGCAATTTCTATACATAACATTAAGAAAGCGATGAAAATATAAAATATCAATGATATAAAGTTTTACAAATATAAAATATCAGTAATATGAAGTTTTACTTTTTTAAGTCTAATCATATATACATATTTACGTGAGAGAAAGGTTCTCGACGTTTGTTTTCCAAATACAAGTGGACAGCTAGTGGAAAACTTCATCTCAGATCTGTCTCTATTACAGAGTTTTACTATCAATTCAACACGTGGCATACAATTTACCAAACACTCAGCAGCGAAAGGATTCAAAGCATCCACAATACCTGCTGTTGAAGTTTTCGAGTATAAGATGTGTTCCTGTGTTAGAAGTATTCCAACTGTTCCCCATTACTATAACTAATGGTTGGTCCGAGAACAAACAGTTCCAAAAATGTTTGATTTTTTATAAATACGTGTAGTTTGTACAATCCAAGTCGAGTTTGATATTGGCGTGACGTTCAAAGTCGCATTTAGAATTTTCGATGAGTTTGACGAAACATTTTGAACTTTTTGATAAGTTTGCAGTGGCTTGAGAGTTTGACGTTTGAAATATTTATCAAACAGTTCACAAAGTTCGAACGTGATTTTCGATTTCAATACTACGAAAATATCAGATTTGGCTTGGACTGTTCAACTTCCTCGTTAGGTGTTTAAACCAGGGACTTAAACCGGTATGATTTCGATACCGGTATTATGCCATCAAAGCTATACTGAAACCGATATATTACCGAAAACCGAAATAAATACCGGTATTTTTTTGGTTTCTATAAGGTAGGGCGTATATAGGGTTATATAGGGCGAAGGTTCAACCGAAAATACCGGTATAATACGTTTTGGTAGAAGATTTAGATTTTACGTTTCGGTAGAAGTCCCTGGTTTAAACACGTTTGAACGCCTTGAAAGATCAAACATAGCTTGGACTGTTCGAACTGCTCATCACTACTACTTGTGGCTACCTACATCAGGATTGAAACGGTTCACCGATACTCTACTAGTACTTGCATCAATTATGACTGATCTTTCTGTTGTATTATTTTCCCAACAAAATCAGTATAAGAGAAACATTGGGATGCTTCTTCTAAAAGGACACGGCTGGTATCCAAAAGCTTTAAAAGCAAATACAGAAAGCCTTATCCTAAAAGTCTCTAGATTTCTTGCTACTTGCATCTATTCAATACAGAATACATAAAACATATTGGATCAACTACCGAGTCATGCTTGACTGATGAAATTAAGCTTGTCTTGCACTCTTGCCGCGACAATCAAGTAAGACAAACATTTAACAAAAGCTATTTTTACGTCACAGCCGCATAGGCCTCGGAACGAGGGTGGCGGCGGAGGCGGCGGCAGGCACAAGAAGCGTATAAGGCAGCCACATAACACGAGAGAAAGGCAAAGACAATTGGCTGTCGGGCATGGGGAGTACATTATGCCGACGCAAGGTGTCCAATACAGGGCACCCCATAACATACCCGACGAATCGTTGCTGGGCATGGTGATGACCGAACCACGGCCGCCCAGGCCAAACAGCATCGAACTTAGACGAAGTTATCCGCCGGAGGAGCAACATTTGTACAGCCCTCCTTCCTCCGATCACTATAGGTTTGTAAAATATCAGCGAATAACTAGACTGAGATGACTAAGAAATGAATCTAAATCATATTCAGAGTTTTTTTTTCTGTCGATTGCTCTTCATGATGTATCATGAACATCTACAGATGATCGCCCGAGTTCTTAACTGTTCTAACTTTATTTTGAAAAATATTTAGTTAATCAATTTACGCGCGTCTCATTTGTCCGAAGAATTCAAGTTCACCTTAGTATAAAGAACATTCAACCTAGAAAGCAAGAAATATTCTTTAAAGTCCTAACTCAGAAACTTTGAAAGTTTTTTCCTTTAATAGTTGTATCTCCAAATACTAACAACAATTAAAAATTTATGTTTATAGTAAGATACAATTTTGTTGAATATCGTAATAGATATTCTGTAGGTAATATTATAGTGTGTTTGATTATTTCACTACTTTTCTGCTTCTGTAATAATCAACTTTGTAAACTTTAAACTCAGTTTTCTCAGTTTAGGACGTAGTGGAGATAAAACATTTAAGAACTAGAGCGACGAGATGTTCCTGAAAAATCATATATTTATAGTCCAATTTACGATCATAGGAACTTAATAGAAGTTTACCAACTAGATGAATGCGTTTAGTACATAACGAATAAAACCATACTAATAATAATGAAATGCACACTTTTTAATTACAGGGCAGCAAATTACGCAACTCAGGGCTATGAAGACAATCTGTACGGCTCACACTATGGTCCCGGACAAGGGCAAGCGGGTAGCGAGACGTATCAGAGTCCTGGTGGCCAGAGCACCCCAAGTAGGAGCGGTAGATCGCGGCCATCGCAACCACCACCAGCTCCACCAAGCAATACTTCTAGCAATTCAACCCCTACCGTAGCCTCTGCTAATAATACACCGACTCGAGGAAGGTCGATGAGTACCAGCAGGGATACTCTTCCGCCACCACCTCCGCCACCTGGTGAAACTATGTCTCCACCTCCTATGAATGGTATTCTAACATATTAAAACGTCACTTCGTCTAAAGGGTGTTTCGAACAGAACTAAATTTCATTTAAAACAAAATTTTTCTTAGTAAGTGATTTTATACTCAAATAAATTGGAACACAAAAATGATTAGGGCTAAGAGACTGAAGGTTTTTTTGTTTTTTAAATTCGATTAGACTATGGGTTTTATGTACTTATGCCATTCAAGCGTGTAAAACGTAATGAAAAAGTTATACATAAAAGAAATTAATGCACCTTTTATTCAATTTTAACTTAACAAATCTTTTTCCATTTTGATCTTTGTGCTTGACTACTGATTAATGAGATTTTAAGCGTTTGTTTCTCTTTGAACCACCCTTTATATTTCTATAATACACTGACTGCCATATTAAAGAATTTAACTGCCATGTTAAAGAATTGAGTTAGAAATATAGTGCCAGCAAAAAATGAAGAAATTTTAAAGTGTTATTAGTTTCAAGATTCTGTCTCATAACGCTTTATTACTCACGATTTCTTTGTTTAGTCTTTCTTTATTCACAGATAATGATTAGAGTTGTTTCAACATTTTTTACTACATTATATATTCTTTGAAAATTATACCCTAGTCCATTAAAATATGCCTTACAAAATCAAATTCACATTAAAGAATTGACTCGAATCTGTATTTATTCATTATACATTACGACTAAAACAGGAGTGCAAGGATTCCCTTCTGTATATTCGATTAGACTCTATAAATCTGAAAGTTGAAGCCTAATAACATCCATAGATTGTAACTTATCTTTTTTGTTTCAAGTAGGGACCTCTAAATTTCTGAATTTCTTCTTGACAGAATGAAATATGAAAAAGGTTGAAGTGGTTCCTAAAGAAGCTTTTAAGAAGTTGCTTGGCAGTCAGTACACTAAAGCTACATTCCCGGCACCGACTTACCCCCATTTTCACGTGTTTTAGGTTCTATACCGTCGCACCTATTGAACAGGAGTGGAAGTCGTTCGAACAGTCCATTACCAAGTCACCACTCCACGCCTACTCCGCCAAATCATTCAACGCAAATCGGAGCGGATGAAACCGATCCAGCAGCGCCCCAAGATTTGCCGCCTCCACCCCCAACCCCGGATCCCACACCGCCCAGACCTATTTCTCCGCCCTGTAATATCCCGCCCCCGCCGCCTCCACCGCCTCCACCGCCACCTGTTACTAATGGACCGACGCCACCGTTACCCCTAACCAACGGCGACATTGCTAGAATGATAGCGACCAATCCGCCGAAGCTGAAACCCCTGAAACCTCTGAAGAATAACGTGGACGGGCAATTGAGGAAGCCCGTTAATCCGAACATCCCCCTTGTCGATCCACGAAACGATCTACTTAAAGCAATTAGAGACGGTAATTATACTCTAATTCGTTTAATAAAGTTTACCGTTCGGCAGCTCCCCACCGTTTCAGTCTGTTTAGTCAGGGATAACTCTGTGATTGTAAGGCAAAATGATTTAAGTCACTTGTTTTCGAACCCAGAGGTTTTTCAAACTCAACTTATGTTGTTTTCTCTTACAAGCACAGATTTTATTGTGTATAGGCAATATGCGCATCTTAGTATATTTTAGAATCCTTCTTTTGCAGTTAAAAATTGAATTATTATTCTTCTGCTACTATTATTATAATTATTATTATTCTTCTGTCATTTTCGGATATTAAAACATCAAATTTTGTTAGTACGAATTGGAATGCAAAATAAGGGAATTATGTATTTTCTAAAAACTTATGTACACCATATCTTTCAGCTGTTAAATTTAAGTTTTTTTATTGTACGAAACTGGAATTTTCTATACATATACATATTTTAAACTATTTAAAGTACCAGTAATAATTTAAAAAATTCTGTATCATGTTTGGCTTCATATCAAATTAATTATCGAGAAAATAATTGTGAGTGATAATTTTTCAGGAATAAAACTGCGCAAAGTGGAGAAGATCGAGCAAAAGGAAGTGGAACGCGGGAATACGTTGAACGACGTAGCGTCCATATTGGCACGACGCGTCGCCGTTGAGTTCAGCGACAGTGATTCAGCGTCAGAAAGCGAGTGCGACAGCGAGGGATGGGGCGAACAAGAAACAAATCTCGCGTGACAAACTTCGCTGTCATCCACTACCACTACCACCGCCACCGCCACCTAAACCAAATGGCTGACGAATTTTTCTTGTCTTCTCTTTTCTTTTCCGTTTCGTTCATTGGCAACGTAATCGCAATCTTTATTGCTTAAGACACATGAAATTCGTCGGAAGTTTGGAAGCAAGTGGGAAAGACTTGTCGGACGTGAAAGTAGAATCAGAACCAGCGAATTCACACTCGATGGTTTACGTTTACGTTAAGTTGGGTTAGTACAGAGAAAAAGTAACAGAAAGTTACATAGACGTAGTACCATTATTAGAAGCATAAACGTAATTGTCAGGACAACAATTATTTTGTTGTACACCGTTTCGTCGCCTTTAACAGGGTTACTTTCGTTTGTTCGTAACGGAGAGTAATATTTAAACGAGAAAAAAAAACATGATTTTTGTTGTATAAAGTGTATCGAGGAAGTTATTTTTATGTTAACCACAGGCTCAATTTGATAGTATGTACGTAAACTGAAAAAGTACGAAGAAATGTTTAGAATTTCCTGGACGATTCTAGGAATTCGTCAGTCAGGAATACTTTATTTATTGCAATCGTTAGGGTCTAACTGAGAAATACGCTATTGAGAAGTAATGGTAGACGTGAAATAAGAAGAGAAAGTCTACGAAGCATAGTGAACATTTAAGTTTTTGTGAGTTTAGAGTCATCTGAGGAACGTACACATGTATACAGATTTCCTTTGTTACAGGCAGTTCGGATTCGTTTCACTGTTGCAAATAAAAGCATACAAATGTTATGGAATATATGTAACTACATGTCTTTCCGATTCTCTGGTTTTTAAGCGGAATTCAACGAAGGTAAAGAGGATGATAAAGTAGTAGAGGACAGGTGGTTAGAAGAAGGTACGCACATTAAAGATGGCGTCGACTTCCTATTATTACTCGATGTCGGTTGTAGCGGAAGTGTTTCCTGATCGGCACATTCCATGCTAATGCTAATACCGTGTAGCGGAACGAGAATCTTACCCTCTGGTTTGGACACTTGATGGTTTACCTGCTGGTCATATAATTACAAGGACGACTTTTTACTTTAAATTTACAGTAAACTCACTGATTTTACTGGCACTGATTGCATTTCTACATTTTTCAAAACAAGTTATTTCTAATATTCTAAATACTGTTAATTAGATAGAATAGTTTAAGTGGAATTTTAATGTCTAATTACAATTATAAATTGTTTGAATAAATTTTTTCTTGCCTTTAACGTTGTTTTGTTCATGAGAAAATTTTAATTTAATGCCAGTAGAATTCTGTAATGAATGCAATTTTAGATATCTTTAATGTCATTAGATCTGATATTAACTAGTATTCCCGTGTACTTATTCTGTACCCTTAATAAACTTTGGAAAATGTAATTTGAAATATAGAGATAACGTGTATAATGAAACTCACACTATTCTTATTATTCAAGAACATGAAAATAAGTCAGTAGTAATTCTTAAAGGAAAATACAAAAATTCGTAACCATAACGCTCGCGACTAAAAATTTATTGTCGTCCACTCACATCATATGACCGGAGGTATAATAATTATTAGATTGCTGCATATAAAATGTAGTTTTCGTGAATAAAGCTTCATACTTCTAGAATTTACACATCATACTAGAACAATTTCTATATGACTCCTACAATTCTCGTAGCTTTTTTTATTAGAAAAACTTTATAAAAGATATACATCAAATGCATAAAGAAAATAAGAATGTACTGTGAAAAGATTACCGAAATAAGTCAACAGATATAGTATATCTTCCAGTTGACAAAAAAAATTGTGATTGTTACGTATAATGTATGAAATTCTGCATTATTGTACGATTCACTTTTCTTGAAGTACAATTTGTATTAGCTTTAAATATACTTAATGAGTTTCTCCTTTCTCCATAGTGGAATGTGAAAAGATGAAGGATTAAATCTCATTTATTTTTTTGCTCTCCAACTGTAGTATAATTCAGGCTGGAGTAAAACAACATTTCATATGCATGCACCTAATATTTGATTAAAAACGAGTGCTCTGTACATATACTCTGTATGTGAACATGCGTACTGTATGCGGAATTTAGTCAGATCGCAGAGCTAATATTTTTGTTCTCCTCTTCGTGTATAAGTTTTGTAAAATACTTGTACCTTAAACGTTTTTCGTATGCTTGCTCGACTAGGTAGACACAACGAGAGTAACGGCAGGTGTTTATTCCGGTCTTTTCTACGTTTCCAAATGATCTTCCATTGTCGCAGACAATGCGTGAAGAACGAGGGTTCTTACCAGCAAAGTGTCGAAAACCAAAATACTCCGTTTATTAGAAGTAAGGACAATGTAATTACCAAACGAGTGAGAGGACTCATATTTTTTAGCGTTTAGAGAAGGGAACTTAATGATAGCGAGTTATACTACTGTTACGGTGAGGATCACAGTTGCCAATTTTAAGCAGAAAGGATAATGATTGTGATTTATTTTGCATCGATGTTGGTGAGGTATGACGAATATTGATAAGATATATGTATACATATAACATAAAAATATGTACGTGTATGTGTGTACACAGAATGGGAAGAAATAACGATTTAAGAAAATAAGCTAGAATCATATAATACATAGATAGAAACTTTTTTAATTTCAAAACATATTAGTATGTGATTTTCTGTTATGCACGTGTTTCAAATATGGATCCTTTTTTTTGTCATGTGAATTTGATCATTTTAATGGAAACCATTGGTAATGTAATAAAACTATTAAACAGTTAGTTACATTCTTAGCAATTATGTATCAAGACAAAGTACGAACTATGATTTGAAAAAACGATTTCATTAGAATGTTGAATTTATAAATATACATTTTAATTTATGTTAGTAAAACAATTTATATGTTTTGTCTGATTTTTTTTTGCAAATAATTAATGGAATGTGCCACTCATTCTGTGTAAATACACTTACATACACAGAGAGTTTGAAACTCTTTTTACAAACTTTGTCAATGCATTCTATGATGACAACCAAAACAATAATGGTATGTTAAAAAGTTATTCTATAAACACATTGTCTGTATTTCTTATAGAAGGACAATTACGTAGAGTGTTTCAAAAGTAAACAGGCTCCACATCTGTTTTCAACTTATTCTGAACCAAAAAATCGCACTTATTTATATAGGACATTACTTATAATTAAATTATGAATGTTCATGCGAATATAATATTTTTGTTTATTCTACAGAAATTTGAATCAAAGAGAAATTTTTTTTACTCCACTAAGGGCTTTATCCCGAGTTGTAGACAATGATATACGCTATAAATGCATAAATTTCACATTTACTTATTATATTTTCATTTAAATGATATCTACAAAAAGTGTTAACAAATTATTCAGAAAAGTTTCTCAAACACTCTGTCGGTATATGTATAGATCATTAGGATTATTGTATAATCTGATGTGTTCGAGTGACAAGGAATGTTAAGGAGATCTGTTTCATCCCTCGTGTTTCTGAAACGGTTAATTCGTGAAAGAAAGAAAAAATCGAAAATGGGGTGTCTCGTCTTCGTCGTCTCAGTGTAAGGATAGGCCAACCGCCCACTAGTGGGCTGGTCGAATTAGCATATTTCTTTTAAATACGAGAAGATGGTTCGATTGATTCGAACCGGGCGAGTGGTAATTTATATTTAATTATTCATTAACGTTGGCGTTCGAGGCCGACGTTTTATCTTGTATAAAATGTGGTGTACGATGGTGAAAGATGGCGGATTCGCATTTGAGTGTACGATTCATCGGCAACGACACGTGTACATTTACATGATTTTAAGATAATAGTCAGTAATTTGAGGTATGAATTCGTTAGGTTATAAGGATTCGAACGGTAGGAATTCTCTAGCTACTTCGCCAACTACGACACAGTATTTATCCGTGGATTTTGTAAACGTGACGGAACGGAGGAAGGTGTGTTCGGTTTGTAAAAGCTTGAGTATCGTGCAAGTTTGTATGAATGTATATTACTCGTCGACCCGTGTGCTTACCGCAGCAAACTATCAAGTGCTAAATTATTGCGAAGCTATTCTATCTATCTAACAAGGAAAGTTGGTCCCGAGGACGTACTCCTATTTCTAATAAACTTTCGCACAATGACCGAGAGAGTTTCGAATAGTCAAGTTAACGACATTAATTACGAGGTTAGACGATTAATACTAAATATACAGAGGAGATATTTCCAACCTTAAAGTTTTAACGTCTCCTACTTTTAATTGTAATATTAACTGTCGGCATTATTATCTTCAGTACTCGAAGCACAGTCACCGTGCTAAAGTTCATTAAAAAATTAGGGTAACATTTCGGGATCGCGACTTCTAAGGACAAATATTCCAAAGCTTAATCGAAACCGAGTGTTTTCAACACCATCGCCGGAAACGTAATACAGTGATCATTTCCGGTTTCTACTATGAACCTCGTACTCGCTCAACAGGTCTTTGAATTTCCACTGGTGCAAAAGTAAACGTAAGTCTCTTTCTGCCTGATATCGATAACGGACAGATAAATCTTTCCCCCCCTCCCCCGGTAACGATAATAAGAGGACACGTTTAGATCCGCGTACACCGAAACTCATTGCGTTCACAGCGATATTTTCATTCGTGTACCGGTAATGCAGTACGTCGAACAATGACGCATACAAGCGTAACAGCCCTACCGATGATTACAAATGTACGATGGTATTATTAATAATAATAAAAATTTGTAGCAAATCTGTACAGAGCCAAATAAATCAAAAACTTTCATAAATCATCAGAGGATTTTTAATTGGACACTGCTACTCCTGGATTTCTTTAGATCAACTGAACTTCGGAAATGGTATAAATGTAGTAACATAGAGGAAATACAGGGTATCTCAGCTAACTTGATTACTTCGAATAATGACTAAACGGTACATTTTATGAACATTTTGAGGCGTGGAAGTTAAATGGCATCAAGGGGCACATTTTATAAGGAACGTGCTTTTTTCGTGGGTGGAGGCATTTCAAAGAGTTCAAGGTCACATTGATTTTTTTTAACGGAATGACCTAGTTTTTGTACCATGGATCGATTGAGTATTAAATTCGGAGTAAAAATGTATTTATCTTCATACGTCCTAAACCTAATAGTTAACGAGATATTTACAAAATAATCACTGTATTGAAGTTGATGGGTATCAGTTCGAACACCTATAGCTTCCAGATAGTAAGTACGTATTAAAAAGTATTTTATAAGTATCTCATTAACTATTAGGTTTAGGACGTATGAAGGCAAACACATTTTTACTCAGAATTTGATACTCTATCGATCTATGGCACAAAAAATAGGTAATTCTGTTTAAAAAATTCAAGATGACCTTGAAATTT